AAAAAAAAAAAAAAAAAAAAAAAAAAAAAAAAAAAAAAAAAAAAAAAAAAAAAAAAGAGGATGTTAAATTTCCAAAGCTTCCATTAATGATAATAAATGAAGGGGTTTTGCCTTACTTGTATTTCATGGACCATTTCTTGTTCGAATTCACATCTCTTATCAAAATTTGCATTCCTTCCTTATCACTCAGAAATGGAAGATTCTCTTCAGCTTCCCTCTGTGTTAAAATCATCAGCAAATTTGGAAAAAAAAAAAAAAAATTAAAAAAAAAAACAATAATAGGGTTTTTAATTATCCTTTTTTTGGATTGTTTTATTTCAGTTTCACTGTTCTATTGGATGAGGAGGGGAAAAAAAAGACAGAGATCTGAAAGTACAAACCTTGGGGAGGACAATCCTGCCCAAAGACCCGACATCACTGTTCTTCAGCTCTTTCTTCAGCAATATTCTCAATACCTTGTCCCACCAAAAAAAAAGAAAGAAATCAGTTTCTAATTAAATAAATAAATAAATAAAATGAAATGTTTTAATGGATCGCCCACCTTATTTGGGGTGCTGAGGGTGGAGAGATTGAGATTGTGGGTTCTGTTGGGTTGAGAAGGAGTTACTGTTATTCGTTTGGAATGGTGGTCGCTGCTACCGGCGAGCCCAGAAGAGGAGGAGGAAGAAGAAGGGGGTTTAGTGACGCTGAGGCTTCTTTGGCGGGCGAGTCTTCTCTTACTTCTAGCCACTTTAGTGGTCCAAGCATCCAAGCCTCTTCGGCCATCGTCTTTAGGCAAAAGGGGATTGATAGGCTCGTTTCCAATGGGGAAGCCGTAGGAGAGCAAGGAGGGTGGGACGAAATAGGATTGTGGAGTGCGGAGGGAGAATCCCAAGGGCGGGTGGGGAAGAATTGGGACGGGGGAATTTTTAGGAGGAGGAGGAGGAGGAGAGAGGGGAGTGGTGGGGGGGAACGGAGGAAGGTTGAGGTTGTGGCGGTGGTTGCGGCGGCGGTGGCGGTGGTCGTCGTCGTCGTCGTCCATATGAGGAAGGTGGGGGGGAGTTTTTTAGTTTTAGTTAAGGGGGGAGGAGGAGAGTAGTGAATTGGTTAAAAAGGAAGGGGAGGAGGAGGGAGAAATGCGTTAAGAGGGTGAGGGGTCCGATGCGGCGGAGAGTGTGACAAGTGGGAGGAAGAGGGTGGGTTTTGGGATGCACGTTATTTTGATCTGAGCCTCATCTGAGCAAGGGGAGTGAAGTTAGTGTGAGTTATAGGTTGTATGAGAGAGTTAAAAGGGTTCGAAGTTGGCGCGTTAGATGGTTTAAATGTGGCAGATTTGGGCTAACCTTAGCACGGAACACCATGCAACCCGCGGCTCACCCAACCATCCAACTCCCCATGTCAATATTACAAAAATCCCTCTCTTTCTCGCTTTCTAGCACAAACTCCACATTTTCTCTTTTTCTTTTGCTTTACCTCCTTCCTTTCAACATTCATACCATATTAAGATTCACAAACCGACACAAATACAATACAAAATGGGACAAAGTTTTAAGTGGTCATTAGGGTTTAATCGCGTTCATGAATACAAAATGGTATGTATGATGTCTTTTAGGTTAAGCTAAAAGTAAACCCATTATGATCCACTCTTAGAGTAGACATTATCATACCATGGTAGATATATATGGAGTTTTATAAAATTATACCAAAAGCATTATCATTACGCTGACTCAACCTAAATTAAAAAGTGAAGACACGAACATACCTAAGACATTGTTTGGGCATCAATCGAGTCAGTATAATTTAGGCTTGAACTTGATTAATTGGATCAAAGTTACGGTCGAGCTTGGGACATCTATTGACATGACTGAGTGAATATTACTTGAAAAAATATATTTTTTTTTTTAACTATTTTCTTAATTAAATGTTGAATTTCTAATTTCATTGAATTCATTTTTAACATTCTGGTGTGTTTTACTAAATGATTTTATAAAATTTATTTTAGCATATTTGAGTTTATTAAAAAAAATAAAAATTGTATATTTGAATGAAGTTGACTGGTGGGATAAAGTACAAGAACAAAATTAAATTTAACATTATTCAACATCTCTTAAATAAACAAAATTAAATAGATAAAAATGAAACCATTATTAAGTAGGTTTTTTTTTTGTGTAAAAGACACGAATAGATAAGTTGTAACGCCGTGTTATAATTAGCAACGGTTTAGATTTGCTATGTCCATACAAAGAACATCGATCTACACCTTTTTGAAAGAAATGAAACATTAAATAAATCGTGGTGACGTACTATGATTGGCCACCGATATAAATCTTATATGTCTAAAACATAACTTCATTGGCGCCGATAATGAAGGAACCATTAAGTAGTTAATAGCATTATATTCGTCCGAATAATAATATATACAAAATAAGTGAATTTAATGTATTACTAACAGTGAAAGTGAGAATATGTTAATGACAAATAAATTATAAATTAGAATGATTTAACTAAAAAAATATATTGTTATTAGAAAATAATAATAATAATAAAATAAATAAATAAAGGAGGGAGAGGTGGTATGGAATCCTGTATTCCAATGGGTAAGAGAGAGGTTAAGAAACGGCCTGCATACTTTAACTGAAATTCTTACTTTTGTCATTTTCCATTCCAGTATGATTTTTTCCGCAAAACATTTATTAAAGCTTCAGCAAACTAATTTTTAATATAAAATACTTAAAAAAAAAAAAAATTGAATTTCTTGAAAATTGAATAACTTACCATGTTTGTTGAATAGTCAATAAAAGGAAACTGCCAAACGTTCATCCATACTTTGTGTTAATACGTTCAATAGGAAGTTACAGATTTTATTTTATTATTTTGAAAAGAAATATAATTTTACTTTAATATATAATATATAAAAACATCATTTTACGATGTTAGAAATTAAAATCTGAAAAAATAATAATATTTTTACCCATAGTAATAATATTAAAATTACTACTCAGAATTGATTTTTTTTATTATTTAATGGTGATGAGTGAAGTGGAGCTGAGGCCCATGAAACGAGAGAAGCATGAATGGGTAACGGCCCATAATGACGTGGCTGCAAAAGGTTGATTTTTTTTATTATTAATGCATGATGACGTGGCTGCAAGATCCTGAAATTGGAATAACGGGCCATTATTTTGAGTCTAAAAGTCGGCCCATTATTCTGCAAAACGGGCCAATGGGGCTGGTTGACTTGTTTTGAAAGAAATTGTTTAATAAAGAATGGTTTGTTGGAGATTGTGGGTCCCACAATGGGGAGAAGGGTGATGGACGGCGTGGAGTTGGAATTATAACGTCAAAATTTGGAGACTCCAATGGAGCAGTTGAAACCGCTAACGGACACACACGTCATCTCACCTACTGTGACTGTCTGTCACCTCCTCCCTTATCGTCACCTGGCCTCTACCACGTGCCATCCTCCTATTTGTCAGTCACAATCCATGCCTCGTGTTTCTCCTCGTACATTCGTACTCCATTGGATTAGAACAACACCACAGTTTTTTTTAAAATATTAAGCTAAATAAATAAAAGAAAATTCAAAATATTGTTTTTTTTATTTTTATTTTATTATATATATATATATATATATATATATATATATATAATGAATTTGACTTTGGATATGGTGTTAACTGTAAACCAATAAATAGTGGGATTAGAGATTGACTTGAAGTTGGGACAAAATGATTATGGAAGTGGAGACTTTGGTTGGAAATTCGGTCAATTTAGATAAATAAATAAATAAATAAATTGAACCAAATTCAAGCCCTTAGAAACAAGGGTCACCCTCCTCCACTCCCAGATCCAATTTCTCCAAATGATGTCAGAAAATTAAATAAATAAAAAGAATTAAAAATACTGAAACCACAGGGACAACATTCACCACAACTCAGATACAGAAACGTTCGGAAAGAGAGAAAAAGATCAATTCCCACCACTCCGCATCCATCCACCGCCGCCGCCGCCGCCGCTGCCGCCCCTGATCGCCCCCAGAATCCAACATATCCGTTTACGTAACAAAATGAAATCTTTTGCTTTTTCGTTTGAATTTATGTGATGATCCCTTCTGGATGTGTGTTTTTTTTTTTCAGACCATCATTTATTTTCAGCTCAATAATGTCTGCCCTACTTCTGTGTCTCTGAAACTTAATATCATTTCGCAAATTTTCTTTTTTCTTTTTTGTCGTAATAAAATTAAAAACCCCATCTTGTGGTAGAAAACCCTAGCTGATTCATGCAGAGAAGGGGGAAGTTCTTGAAGCCTAAAACGCTCTCCATTTAGTATTTCTCTAAGATCCCAAAAAACCCTTTTTGTTGCAAATCGATTGGTTGAGAGATGCAGCGTGGGCGAGATGATCAAGATCGGAGATTGAAGGCTCTACAAGCGCAAAATCAAGCTCAGCCACAGCCACAAAAATGCCCTCGTTGTGATTCTCTCAACACAAAGTTTTGTTATTACAATAACTACAGCTTATCTCAGCCTCGTTATCTTTGCAAGACTTGTAGAAGGTACTGGACTCACGGTGGTACTCTCCGTAACGTCCCCGTCGGCGGTGGCTGCCGGAAGGGTAAACGACCCAAGCAATCTTCTCACTCATCCGACAACTCCAACTCACAACCGTTGCCATCACTACCGCTGCCGCAGATAGTCCAATCCAGTTTAACAACAACTCCGCCGCCCGTAATTTTCTCGGGTACTCCCGTCATCACGCCGTCCTCTTTTTTCAATCCTGGTGAGCAAGATTAGAACTTGACCTTAATTTAGTTAAAAAAAAAAATCTCTTTTTTTGAATCAATTTCTCAGTCCTTCCTATTTTGTTGGAATCATGGAATAAAAAAGATGGAATTTTTATGATGCAGTTGGAGAATTGGGGTCATCTTCCAGCTGGGTCAATTCATTTGGATCATCACAAGGGCAGCGTCCAATTCAACCACCGGAAATAATCTACGAAATGATGGACCAATCATCAGGGAAGGCCGCCGTGAGTTCATCTTCTCAAGCAGGGTGGTCGGAAAGTTACATCAACAATTATATTTCAAACCCAATCGCCGCAGCAGCCGGAGAGAACATTGTCTGGACACCAAACAACAACAACAACAACAATACCGCCATGGCGGCCACAGGCAACCCCACGAACAATAGTACTACAATTAACCAGTGGCCTGATTACATGGCAGGATTCGATCCACCCCCATGACATGATCGATCACAAATCTGAGGAATTCGATTCTTTCGTTTCAAAAAAAAAAAAAAAAACATACCTTTGATATTCCGTATATATAAATAGCTTTGACTCAAGAAATTCTCGGCGATGAAGTTGAAGGTAATTTGACAAATGGTCTAAGAACAAGCATAGGTTGTGATGTATATTAATATAGGTTTGTTTGTGTTCCAACGCTACTTTTTTGGTTTGATTGAAGAGAGTAATTATGATGTGGTTATGTTTTCCGAGCACTTTAGCTCGTTTAACTAAATTCACTGCTAAAGTGAGAGAGCCTTAAAAGAAGAGAAAAATACAAGCTTGTTGTGTTCATGAATAAGAGGAGTTTGGTTGGTTGTGTGTGAAAATGTGTCGATATGGGGAAGGTTATTTTGTTTTTTACTGTTGGATTTTACCCACCACCAGTTTTACTTTACTTTACTTTACTTTACCTTGTTTTTTTTTTTTTTTTATGTGGCAGTAAAAATGCAGGCTTTTGAATGGGAGGCTATGGATATGAAGTAGTTAAATGAAAGCATGCACGAGTGGAGTAGAAGAGGGCCCAAAGTCCCATCGAATATGAGCAGTACATCACAACACAACACGTTGGGCTACGACTCGGGTACCCTGCCGCCCATCATTTGGTCACCTGCCTGCCCTTTCGCCAGATAAGATAACCCTTTTTCATTCTCTATTGTTGACTCACCCATTATTCTCTCTCTCTCTCTGTACTCCCCACACTACCTGCTATCATTGCATGGAATTGTTCATCGCCATGAATGCCCCCTTCCAACCTTTTTAAACCATTGCTCCACTCCCTTCATCATCACATCACCCACTTCCTTTTTACATCTTCTTTTCAAAATCACCCTACTACTACTACTACTCAATTACATTATCAAATTTCATTAATATATGAATGAATTTGAGCATGGAATTTAACTTGATCATAAATAAGGATGGATCTTATTGTGTATGAGACAACCCCACATAATCTTATGTCAATCAGTATCGAGCTGAGCACATAGTCTCTCAACTCATATAGTTCTACAGGGTCCCAAGTATTAGAACTATATGGATGACATGTTAGAGATAACTTCTTTTACTCGGTTAGAACCATCTCGACAAAATATTGGTCTTTTTAGGCTTGAATTTTCATGACTTTGCTTTGTCTCATACAAGTATTGATATGTGAAAATCACTACAAGGGGAGTAAGATTCGGATTACCGTATTGATCGAATATCTTGAGGCAAGAACATTGTTTGAGATTCGAATCACTCCACAAGCAAGATCGATCATGTCTAGCTTGAATAATTCTTGTTGATTAAATATCTCAAGGAAGGAACACTTGATTGAGATTCGAATCACTCCACAAGCAAGATTGATCGTGTCGAGCTTCAATGATTCTACATGCAACCTATACTACATAGAATTGCAAAGAAACTTAGCAATTGGCTAAAGAAGAGCACAAATGCTTCTTTTACTGTATTTTAAAAGTCTCGTTACAAATACAACATACATGGCTTTATATAGCCTTAAAATGAAACTATTAAGGGCATTCCAAGAGTTCTAACATTCATACTTAATGGTCATAATTAACCATTACGTAACCTAAAATAATAAAGAGTCTTCAAATACATTAATGAAATACAATAACTCTAAATTGTAATTCACCAAGAATTTATAACATGAAACTTCATTCTTCTTCGATGTGTGGCATGAATTGAAATATCTTTTGATAATTTCAACAATATTTTCTTCATATCTTCATTGAAGCATATTGTATGATTGATGTCTCTTAGTTCACATCAAGTATGTATAACAAGGATATTTTCCATTTGCATAAACAATTTTTCATGGGAAATAACATGTTTGAAGAGGTTTGAGGTTGCTTGGAAGGCAACCAAAAATAAACCGACCTTAGTAGATAATTTAATTTATTGGTCCAAATCATAAATAATTTACATGTATATATATATATAGAAAGAGTGTGTAAAAGAAGGGACAACAAAATAAAAGGAAAAAAAATAAAAATAGTGTCGGCGAAGGAAGCTTGAGTCAGCAAAATAATAATTATAAATAAAGAAATAAAGAAACCCTACAGGCTACAACCACTGCTCATATGTCTGGTCCTATGCGTAGAATGGACTAGTTGTTGTCGTGTTGTGTTTCGAGTATTAATAGAATGTTTTTTTATTTTGTCATAATGTATAATGGTGTCATTTAAGAACATTCCGACTAAGATCACATTAACATCCTCTTCCTTATACGTATTGCTTTCATACTCATATTTTAATATCCCAACCATATAATATAATGTTTTTACATCTTCTTTCCATTTGCCGTAATGTAACGCTCTTCCTTTCATTCTTATTTTATATTTGTCTTAATTTAGATTAGATGTATTGAAATTGAAAGCCAGACCCAACTGCTGTGGATTGATTTGATTTAGTTTGATGTTCTACTTTGGGCCGACTAATAAAGACAATATTGGCCCATTTATAATTTTTTTTTTTCTTTTTTAATGTTATTTCATAATGTCTTTGAAGTTCTTCAAAGATAAAAGGCACTCAATCTAATAGCCTCTACTCCTCAATGATGAAGCTTAGCTTGGGACCCAAACTAGAATGGGTGTCATTGTAATCAAGTGAGCTACTCGATTATAATTTACTATGAACTCGGGATTATATCACGAATTGTCAATCTTTGTATAAAAAATATGCATGAATTTAATGTAAGAAGAGATCATAGCGACAATGTTAATCTATGAGAGAATTGAGCAAATTAAATTTACGAAATTTAAGGATCTAACCATTACAATAACAAAGATCCCTCTCATCTTGTATACCCTTAACAATATGTCCAAAAAGAAAATGAAAAAAAGAAGAAGAAATATGTATCCGACCCGTTTAGAGGCATGCATGGAAGAAGGCATGCGAGCTATGGGTATGGGTGTGAATGAGTGAAAGGACATGAAAGTTGTTGAAAGTAAAGACATAAAATTCTAACTTCTTTATAGGATGCTACTTTTATAAGGGACGAAATGAAAGAGGATCCGAGGTTCCTCTCAGCGCAATTACCTATAAAATTCTCAAACCCTCATCGTTTGAGCCTTTTTTTGCAGCTGACATGATCGCTCCGATCCACCTCTGCTCGTCTTTCCTCCCAACTTTATTCTTAATTTCAGAGGGAGATCCAAATACAAATACAAATACTCTACCTAGAATAGAGAAGCAATTGAGGACCCGTTATTCGTTGGATCGTGCCAATTCCCGGTTGCAGCCGTTGTCGAGTTCCAAAAATGAGATGGGTCGGAGAAATTCGATAGATCGACTTGCTCCGTGTGATTCTGACGTAGCCTGTTAGGATTATGAATAAATGATTATGTAATGATCTAAAAATTTAAGCTTTTTGAGTTAATTGTGATTCAATCCAACCTGTTTAACCCCTCCATCTTCGCTTCCTTCATCGGTGGCATCGTCAAACTAGCTTCGAAATTACTCGAAAGCTGCGAATTGCGGTCGAAGGAGATCGTGGGATGATGGAAGTGATTTGAATTGAGTGAAATATCTTGAATTTGCTTAGCGGGATTGAATCCGTCCCGGAGATCACCGATGTGGGAGAGAAAACCCGGAGAAGAAAACCCTAAACCGCCACCAATGGCATCGAACTGCGGCGGCGAAACGTTAAGAACAGCAGAAACAGAATCAAGATTTGAAAATTGAAGATTTAAGGGAGATGGGTTAGTGGTATGTACCCCAAAAAACATTGGGTTGTTGATATGAGTTGAAGCTGAAGAAGAAATATTAGCAGTAGTAGCGTTGATGGAGTTGAGAAAGCTAGGGTTTTGACTTGGAGTTGACGTGGAAGTACCGTTGACTGAGGAGGAGTTGGAGGAGGAGGAGGAGACTTTAAGGCGCTTGTTCTTCCGGCAGCCGCCACCGACAGGGACATTTCTCAAGGTTCCTCCACGAGTCCAGTAGCGTTTGCAGGCCTTGCAAAAGTGCCTTGGCTGAGAGAGGCTGTAATTGTTGTAGTAACAAAATTTGGTGTTGGAAGAATCACAACGCGGGCACTTAAGAGCTGGTGGTAGCGGTGGTTGTTGTTGTCGTCGTTGTTGTTGTTGACGGGGTTTGTCCATAATCGGAGAAGGTGAAGCCATTAGGGACGAACCCTTTTTATCATTTAAGAGATTCTAAAGCAAATGAGTTGAAAAAGGGAGAAGAAGAAGGGAGAGAGAGAAGGTTAAGATGTTGGATTAGGGTAAAATAAGAGAAGAGAGAACAGAACCAGATATTCTATTCCAAAAGCTACGCAACAAAAAATGGGGAGAGAGTCATGTTGAGTATAATAATTGGAGAGAGAGAGAGAGAAAAAAAGAGAAAGTTGTGCCCATTTTCTAATACCGTTGAAGAAAGGAAATATTCTTGAAGTTGCTACACATTTTCTCCACTCAAACAAATCCTTTTAACTCTTTTTTTTTTTTCCTCATGGGATTCAAATATTCAAACAAAACAATGAATGTACTTCGACTTATGTTTGGTGAAATTGTTTTTTTTTTAGGGTTTAGGGTTTAAAACATGACAAGATCTCATAATGTTAAAATAGTTTAGGAAAAAGTGAAAAATTACAGCTTCAAGTTTACATTTTCACGTGGTGGGTCTGAAAAAACATCCCAAATTCGAATACTTTTATGATTAAAAAACCCAAAAAAAACAGGTGGGAAATTCGAAAGCGAGGGAAAAGACAAGGAGATAAAGTAGAGAGATATTAGTTATGAATGTGGGAAGGTTCAACGAAATATAGAACAATACTTCATTCGTACGTAACAACAACATTCCTTTTGTGTAATCCTAAGTAACCTCTTCCTGACATAATATTGTTCACTTTGAATATAAGCTCTGGTGATTTTGTTTTGAGTTTTTAAAAATGCTCGTTATAATGGCGATGTCTTCGTGTTCTGTGCTGATGCAAATAGAAAGCAAACGGAAAGCCATTGGAGACTGAGTTTGTGCAATGGAAGAGAGAGAGAGAGAGGGGAAGCAGAAGAAGGTGCAGAGGCATGTGGAGGGCAGCTCATTTATGTGTGAAAAGAAGTGGAAAATAAAGCGAATCAGAGGTTGAGGAAGAAATGGATTTTGTAGGGCTCCAAGGGATTTGTTTCCTTAAAATTCTGGCCCCCATCATTATTCTTCAGCAACCCTAATTTGTTCTTCAAACAAACAAAAGGAATTTAAACTAATCTTAATCTATCACTTAAGTAGAACATTAGTTTATAATTTATTCATTGTTTAATCTGGTTGAGAAACTAAACAGTTGTTCTCGTGGTTTGAGATTTATTTATGAACCTCCCTTTCAAAGAATCTTTGCTTTGTTCCATAAAACAATACCTGCCAAAAGCTTCCCACTTTATTTTGCTACTCCTAGGCCTCTCACCCCCACTCCCTAAAATGCATATACACCACCAAAATGGGATGCCCTCTTGGACTAGCTTTAACACCCTTGGTTTTAATATGCAAAAGTGGGGTTACAACATCAAAATTATGAAATTTAGGATTAAAATATGATTAAAACCTCGTGACCCATCTGATAATATAACTTAACAGTGAGATCCCCACATGGGTTTGAGAGGAAAACGAAGGATTCTTTATAAAAATGGTATTTTGAAACCATGAAGTTGATAATACTACGTAACAGGTAACGGACCAACGAGTTGATAATGGATAATGGAGGGAAAGATGAGGAAAGAAAGAGGAGGGGGAGAAGGTTCCTCCATTCCATTCCATTCCATATACATGAAATTAAGGAATATCGTAAAAGAGAAGCAAAGGTGAGGTGGTCCATAATATAAGTAGAGATAAGCAGAATTTGAATAAATATTTTGGCACCACCGCCGTCCCTATCAATCAAGAGATTCCAAATAGAAAACTAGTGAGAGAGGTTGGTGTACCCATCAATGCCTCGCCACAATCACCCAACTTGCTCACAAACATGTAATTAAAACAACCCACTCACTTCCCAACCTTCTTCATTTCGCTTTCAACATACCTCTTCTCTTAGTCAACACAACTGGGTTTGGTTAAGTGCATCAAATTCAACCAGTTTGAGACATGAACCAATGCCATGTCTTCCGGAAACCTTCTTTCTTTTCCATGCAAATACATATATATCCACTTCAGCTTTCACACACCCTTTTCTTCTTTTCATATTTATGATTTGATCTAACATCATTTTACCCTCGTCGTCTCTTAATAGCTATTTCATTCAACTAAATCGTTTCAATATACTCGTCTCTTAATAGCCATACGATGGGGAAAGAAGGGAAAGGAAGCATTGAGTATGTATATTTGTATTTGTATGGGTAGGGTGCCTAATTATGGGTATCTAAAGGCATTTTGGACTGTTCCTTATGGCACCTTTTAACTCTTCAATGATCCCCCACTCTCCCTTGGGCCCTCAACAATGTTTTCTTCCCAATTCTTCCATCTTATTTCATGCATCACTTTCATATACATACACTCGATTCAAAATGTGAAACTACCGTGAAGACAAACTGAAAAACAGGCCCCACCTCACGCGGGGAAGACCAAATCGTGGTGGATCAAGGCTACTACATAGCCAAATTGGTCACCCAAAGCCACAAGAGAGAAAAAAATTGAGACACGGCTCGTTGGAAACATGCACTCGGTGGGGTAATCGGTGCAAAGTGTTGGATGAAAGTCCCGCATCAGTTAATTTAGAGAATGATCATGGGTTTATAATTAAAGAATACTTTCTCCATTGGCACGAGACCTTTTGGGAAAGTCTAAAGCAAAGCCATGAGAACTTGTACTCAAAGTGGACAATATCATACCATTGTGGAGAGTCGTGTTCGTCTAACATGGTATCAGAGTCGTGCCCAAATAAAACTTAGTCATGTTAATAAACTCCTCAAATTTCGAACAAAGGACTCCAAAAGCTCCTTGAAGGCATGGTCAAAAAATAAAAATATTTTGCACTTTATTATGTGGACCTAGAGATCCATTTCCTCCTGGTAAAGGCCCAAAGGTCCGTAACGAGGACGCAAAATTTGGGCCCGCAGGCTGGTTCCCGCTTTCTAAATGGGCCCGAGAGCCCTACAAGGCCCAATATATAAGCTCTTCTTACAAACCGGCTAACCAGCATAAAATTTGAGGTGTTGTACCTTGTATTGTCTTGTTTCGTTTTTTTGTTAGTTATTACTTTTATAAATAAGAAAATAATTGATATAAAAGTTAAATTATAAAATGTGCTAATTGGCCTATAAATATTTTGATAATATTTATATAAGCATTACAAAACATTAATATTTATGACCCCTTATAATTATTTAAAATTTTTGTTTTTCAAATTTGGGTCTATTTTTAAAAATATAGGTAAAAAGTGGAAAACATATCGTATTTATAAACTTGATTTTTAATTTTTTTTGTCTTTTTTTACAAATCTAGGGTACCCCTAAACTTTGTTGTCGAGGAATCCTACTTTTTAGGCATATTAAAAATTACATTCTAATATGATAAGGTTGCTTACGTAGTTGAACATTATGTCATATATTCGATTATCCTTTAAATTTAATTTCTCCAATTACAAAATGAGCTTTTATAAAATTTTAATATAAATATACTATTTTCATTAAATTGTTTGTGTAATTTTCCAGAAATAGAAAATAGAAAAAGAAAATTGAAATAGTCAAAGTGGATACAGTTGGCAGGAGAATAAGGTTCTGATTTACCATCCTTCGGGAACAGATGGGTGGACCAAAATGAATGAGGCACCTGCATCATTGTGGTCCATGATGTACCAGATAATTACCCCCAAAAATTAATATAAAAGCATAAAAGAATATAGGACAGTTGCCCACTAACCTCCAAACCAATTGGCGCCCATAAAACAAATATCGTCTCAAATCTCGCAAAAATGAAAAAAGAGGGGCATAGGCTACCGTGCCTACGCATTCACCATATGGAGCCACGTGGCAAAGATCCATAGGTGGACAGTGTCGAAATCATTGGCTGATATAGGGCTGTCACCTTTGGGCCAGGTTTGTCAATAATACACTCGGAATCGTCCTCCATCTGTCCAATGGAAAATGACTGTCAACTATTATACCGACAAAGACTCTTCCTTTACGCCATTCCCCAAATACTATGCATTTCACCATGTGACATATTTCCTAATGTTTTTTTTAAACCTTATAATTACAAATTATAACACATATTTAGTACTTATAATATGATTTTAGTCCCTAAACATCATAATTTTTTTTCCAAATGTTTATATTTATAACTATAGGTTTAAAAAACAATGGTTATGATTATTTATCAATATTTTATATTATATACTTAACATAGTGAAGATTCTCTCCCATTTATTGCTTGTCTTAATCCGTTTTCTTGAATTGGGTTCTTATAATTTTACTTTGAATACATCGATTCAAGGCCCATTAGAATAAAGTTGATTTAAAAAAAAAAAAACGTCAATGTAAAACACAAGCTACAATATGTCAATATCAGGAAAGATAAATTTATTCTTGGTATACAAATATATAAAAACATACATATATGGATATGAATCTCGAAAAATAAACTACCAATTCATTCATAAGTTTAACGATTCGATGAATTGATATGATTGGATAATACTCGAAGAGAATCCCAAAAATTGAAAGGCAAATATTTTGAAGCACGAGGCAACCACACAAGGTAAAGAAAATAATAGCACTTGGGACAAGGACGGCTAATTATATACATTAATACTTTTTAAAAAAGTATAGAAAATTAATAATTTTGAATTTTTAAGATTTATTGAAAGCTAATTAATAATTATGTAAATAAATAAATAAATAATAAATAAATAATGCATGGAAGCTGCGGTCCTCCACTCACTAGTTATTTCCGTTGTAGTTTATATATAGTGTATGTTTCTTCTGAGTTGCTCCACATAGGCTTCTCTGCAAAAATGGAACACTCAGGAGATCAAGGTTGGGGGGAACCAGTGGAGGAGGAGGAGGAGGAGGAGGAGGAGGAGGACGACGACGACGACGAAATAGGGTTTGTAAAAGACGAGAGGAAGAAGAGAGCCGCGAGTGGTAGCCGAAGCGGCAGCGGAGGAGGAAGGACTTCGGTGCCGCGTTGTCAAGCCGACAGCTGCAATGTCGATCTGAACGGCGCCAGGGCGTACCACCGCCGCCACAAGGTGTGTGAGTTCCATTCCAAGGCAGCGGTGGTGATTTTGGCCGGACTCGAACAGCGCTTTTGCCAACAGTGTAGTAGGTAAAAAATAAAAAGAATACACATTAACCAATCACTATGCTTAGCGTAAA